GGTGTTTGGATATCGGATCTTAATTAGCATAGATTTTTACGATTTTAATTCTCTGTTTTTTCCTTAATTTTTGTTTCGATTGAGGAGTTCGTCAAAAATACTCCGCTACGCATCGTATTTTCAACTCTTTTCTCGGTGTTTGGAAATGTGGCCAAACACTGTCTTTCTTGTTTGATATATTACGTCAAGATGACCTGGAAACGTCGTTTTTAGCGTTAATTTTCATTTTGAAATTTATTACTTAATTTTCGCTGGTTAGAATCTGTGTAGTTCTGGACAGTAAGAAGTTTGAAAAAATAAAGAGCCGATGTGTGAAGCAAGCTATCGATAACAACCTTAAAGAATGATCATCGACAGCTAAACAGTTTTTCTTTACCGAAAGAGACTAGGACAAGTCGACCCTATCATAATTCCAAGATAATTGAAAATTTTAAGCACATTTCTACTCGAATATTCTAGGTTGAATATTTTTGACCACCTTTCAAGACATTCCGTGTACTTCCAAATTTCCCGCTCGGTCGAGCTGAGATTGTCTCACATTCTGACCAAAGTTTCCGGAATTTTTGGGTAAATGGTAAACAACCAACATTTACTGGTCGGCACCTAGCGCCCAAAGCTATCGAGATGATTGTACAGACTTACCGACGGAGAGCTCACAGTTTTCTCCTTCGTAACCAGAAGCGCAGAGGCACCGATGACCATTAGGCTCTTCGAAACACGATCCACCATGTTTACACGGATTAGGAACACAGAATCGCGGATTGGACGCTAAAAGAGCAGGAGAACAATTGACGTTAGACAGCGCAGTCGCTGGTTGTCCTAGTATACCTGAGGAAAATTATAGAACGTTGTCATATGACGTCACGGAAGCCATATCGGTGTTCGGAAACAATAGAAGGGCGGCCATGTTGTTGTACCAAAATAATATTGTGGGATTTGAACTCTTTTGATATGTAAACAACTTTTTTTGTTCCAATAAATTTGCATGGCTGTTGGCTACGTGAATGAAAATGCTCTATGTTCGACAGATGACAAAGGAAACTGAATGAGCATGTTCATACATTTCATTTGTTTGTGTCCTCTAGGCCTCACTATCAAGTTGAATTTTATTATATCGAAAGTAGCCTATTGCGGTGTAAAGAATAAAAGAGAATAAAGTCGAGTTGAAAAATCGTAAAATAAATGATTTACTTACATGTACCTTAGTCTTAGCAACAAAGAGAGGATGATCTTGAAAGCGCAGGACAGCTAAACATCATTTCTCGTTAGTTAGAAATATCGCTCCGTAAATACCCGGTGCAAGTTTTTGCATGTTTGATTTCAAAAGCGATGTGTAATATTTACCAGAGTTGGCATGTTCACTGGAAAAAATAGCTGCTTCTCCGAAATTGCTGCACAGTTTCGTTCGAAAGAGGTCTCTTTTGAAAGCATCTCCTAAGGGCTGGGCAGGAAAATTATCACACCCCGAATGAAAAAGGTGGTAATATTCCATAAAAAACAAACAAACAAACAAACAAACAAACAAACAAACATACAAACAAACAAACAAACAAACAAACAAACACAATCCGAAACAAAGTAGAAACAGAAATATCTGTCATTTTTTTTAATAAATCCACTGCGCTTATGTTATTTGCTACGGCTACATACCTCCAACACGGAAACATTCTCCTCGAATTCCTTCCCCATAATAACCACCATCACAGACGCATTTTCCATTTTCACAGTGTGCATGGACATCACATTTGGCGCATTTATCCTCTGAGAAAAAAAAAGAAAAAAAAATCACATTTGAAGTCACATTTTTGTCGTGTAGCTAGATGAGATTGATCAGTAAATGGAAAACTTATTTCATCTATATGATTATTAAGGTGATTCCCTAGTAAAAGAACCCGCTATAGATTTCCGATGAAATTTGGTATGCTATTGTTACAGGACAAGAAGATATTAAAAACGTAATAAAAAGAGGAGGTCACCGGCTTGTTTTCACGCCACAATGCTGACAAATATGGTTCTTTAGGTGACTTTTGGTAATCTCGTTGAACAACAAATAGACTCGATTATTTTTCAATGCAGCGTGTTATATTACACAGACTTTCTTTGATTGTTTGTTCATCTGCGTCCCAGAAGAACTGTCTTCAAATACCCTGCATTTTTTTATCCTTTAAAGGAAACATAATTTAGGCATACACTGTTGGGCCCGTTATGTCTCCCTCTGTAGTATTTATTTCATTTGCCAAAAAAGTAGCCATAGATTTCTATTTAGGTCAGATGTATTCCTGGAGCGTTGACAGTGTCAATGTCAAAGTTCTTTCCTAGCTTCCTGATGGCATGCAACTCTGTCTTGTGAAATCGACCCGATAATTTCGTCATACGTTTGTGACATCACAGCATTCTTCATCGTCTTTGATCCAGTTAGGGCCTTCTGACAGTCACGTGTCTGTCGTTATCGAAACGTTCAATCAGTGTTGTTTAATTGTTCGACGAAGAACGAGATGTCTGGCAATATTTCTAGATGCCATTGTTAGTGTTCCATTGTAACTACATTTCTGTTAGATTTCCTTATCGGAGGTTGCGATATTAGCACTACGATCTTCACTCTGTAGATCTGGACTCGGCAAAGTCATTCTGGTGGAAAACAAATATCAAAGGTGCGGACGGGCATCACGTTGACTAAATATGTGTTTCAGTTCAATTTCGGAAGAAATAATTCTTTTAAGTGGTCGTTTCTCTGACCATTGAAGAAATGAAGCATAGCAGCTCGTGTAGCAGCTGTTATTTTTTGGGGGCCAAGGTCATTGTTTCTATTGTTTGTTTTAATGTTCTCTTAAAGGGTATCGAGTCGAGCCATTCATGTGAGAGCTTGGGAGAACTGCTATCCGAACCGATTAGAAGCTAACATTCCAACACTTTTTACACACACGTGACT